GTGCCAGCCGGCTGCTGAGGCCACAGACCACACATCCCCGCCACCAGCGAACCCTGAGCCCTGCCTCGGGCCATCCCGCCACCCCCACCCCAGCCAGCCCCTCTCCCCCTTTCTCCGGCCTGCACCACATAGAAGCCTCCTTGCTCGACTCCCACAGCCAGTCCCTCACGCCCCAACCCCTGCCTGGGATGCTCACGTCCCAGACCCCTCACCAATGGCATCCCATTATTCTTAAAATAAAATCTATTCTGCACAGCCCAGCACGTGTCCTGATGGACCTGCCGGCTCTATCACTCCCATCTCTAAAGCTCCCAGCCATGCTGACCAACTTTCTGCTTCCGGAATGCCTTACTGTCTCCTCTGCCTAGAAGCCCCTGCCCCAGTTTTTAAAGGGGCTAAGTCCTCATCCTTATCACCGTAAATGCCTCCTCCTTGAGGAAGCCTTCCCGAAGTGCCTCATCTAAAAGAGGACATCTGTAGGATTCTTTACCACAGGTCTGAAAGTCTTCTGTGTCCCAGTCCCTAGAACAAGGCCTGACGCCAAGCCGACTTGATGACCGCTGCTGACTGCTGTCATGTAGGGGGCGACATTCTTCCAGAGGAGAAGTGGGGCTGACGGAGGAGTAAGAGTTCGCCCGCTACAGACGTGTGCGAATGTTCCAGGTGGAGGGAAGGGTGCGTGCAACGGTGTTACGGAGTTTGAGGAGAGGCCCGGGATGGCAGGAGAGGCGGCGATCCGCTCAGACCCGAGCTGGGGTCCTGCACGTGAATCGTGACGAGCCAGGATGAAACTGAATGTTCATGGCAGCAGCGACCACGCTGAGGGACCGGGACGCCAAGCACCCCCGTTTCTGCTGACAGATCAGGCCGGAAAGGGGCAGAGAAGGTGGGACGTGGGAACAAGGGCGCGTGTGAGCAGGAAAACGGCGTCGTTCCCAAGAACTTAAAAGACGACAGGAAGTATGAGCGATTATGACTGCTAATATTTATTGAGTAACTGATGACGAAACATAGTTCTCAGGGCTTCAGTCTCCCGGGGGCAGCCTGTGGGGCAGGTGCTGCTGTCCTCCCCGCTTGCAGAGGACGACACAGACGGTCAGGATTCCGTTTCTGCCATCCCGACGGCGCCGTGCGAGCCCGGGGTTTGTGGCGCGGCGGGGAGGGAACCCACTGGGCCTGAGCGGGTGCGTCGGGCCCGGCGTGGCCCCGGGGGTCGGTGCACTGCCAAGTCCCCGCAGAGAGGCCCGTCTGAATGGGGAAGCTGAGGAGTGGTTAGTAAAGCCGGTTAGTCGAGGCCGGTTTAAGAGAACCCAGAAGAGACGGTGCTGCCCCCCACCCCCACCCTGGGCACTGGCAGCACGAGCAGCCGCAGCCCTGAAGCCCACCAGGGCAGAGCCCAGGGAGGACAACGGCCCAGAAAGAGACGGCCAGAGCTCTGAGCCGGCCACCAGCTGGGGGCTGTGGCAGAGGGGGGCACCTGACCCACGGTGGCCCCACAGAGGGGTGACAAACACCCTGACCTCACGCACGCTCTCCCCCCACTCTCCTTCCTGCCGGGGCCTCCTCCCACCGGCCAAATCCCAGCAGAAGCCAGGCGAGGAGACAGATCTTAAGTGAGGGAGGGACGATGGATCTGCTGTGGGAAACCGGAGGGATCTTCCCGCCGTGGAAAGTGTGAGATAAGGGACTGGCCAGCGGTCGCACGGGCTTTGGACCAGGTGTCCCTCCGAAGCCAGGCCCTTCCCAGCAGCGGTCTGAGAGCCTTAGCATCTGAAGAACACCGAGGCCTCGCTCTGCAGGTCGGCGGTACTAGAATAGTGACAATTTTAATGCTGCGTCGAGGGAAGTTCAAGGCCCCTGAGCAATCCCCCCACAACCCGTGACTTCTGCAGGGAAGGTTTATAGCACGACCACCATGGAGGGTCACCCGGGCCCCGCGCCCTGCAGTGCAAGGAGCACCCCATCCCCCGAGAGCGGCCCTGTCCAGCTGGTGCCACCGGCCTGCCGGCCACCCCTGTGCCACTTTGGACCAGGGAGCCAGGCTGACTCGCCCAGCTCAGCGACTCACTGTGACTCACCCGCGACTGTCACTCTGTCTCCTCTTCCCCCGTGGCTCCCGTCCAGCAATGCCTCCACCCACGCGGGGCCCGCCCCCCACAGCGGGCTGTGCGCTGGCTGACTGGGAGCTCCTGGGCCCAAGCACCAGGCAGGCACGACCAGAGGCCACGAAGTGCGTGGAAGCAGAACCAGACAGAGGCAGCGCATGGCCCACGCTCTCAGGTCTTTATTGGAATAAGTAAGAGCACGTGGCCGGCCCCACCCGGGGCTCTGGCCCCCGGGAGGTCAGGTTCAAGGCCGGGCCCAGGCAAAGCAGAGGAGCCAGGAGGGCGGCGCTGGCAACACAGCCCGGGGTTTAGCAACTTTTATTCGACATCCAACATCCAAAAGTGACACTACTTAGAACAGTTAAAAACACAATGAAACACGGGCATGCAAAAGGGGGTGAGAAAGGCATTCAGTGCCTTTAAAACACAGCTCTTTGTCACATCCAGTGAGGACATTAGGGCTCTGCGTGCAGAAGACCCCTTGGCTGGCGTGGGCCCCAAACAGCCACTCCAAGAAGGACAAAAGGAGACCATCTCATGGCCCTGGCCTGGGCCCTCACTCGGGCCCTGCAGACCCCAAGCCACGGCCGCTCAGATGCAAATGATCTTGCTTCTGCTTAGTTCATGGGGAGGGTCCCCACCCAACCGAAAAACAAAGCACTGGAAAGGTGGGTCAATCAAGGAGGAAGGCTTCTAGAACTGAGATTAAGGAAAGCGGCTTCTGCTGCACAAGTTTCCCCAAGAAGACGCCCCAGCATCACAGAGCCCACAACTCACAGCTATGGTCACTAAGCCGGGGTGGGGGGTGGCTGATCCCAGGAGGAGAGGCCACCTCCAGCATTGACCCTGCCCTCCGCCTCACAACTGCGCCCGCACGCAAATGCCTAGGCCTGGCGCTGAACTCTGATTCAGAGCGGACAGTGAAGGCGGGAGAGGGGAATGAGATGCGTAGAGCTCAAGGAACCAATGTGACTAAAGGCAGTTTGGACAACAGATCACCTGCTTTGCTGGAACCTTGGGCTTGGACAGTCAGCCTGGACAAACACGCCTGCTCACAGGTGGCCTGTGTCTTGGGATCCCTTCTACTCTGTGACCAGAAATACAGAGGGCTTGACACATGCTCCCTGCCCCCCAGGACCACTGCCTCCCCCCCCTGCTGGAACTTCCCCCCTGCGCTGAACACCCCCAAGACTGAGTTCTTTCCAAATGCCAGTCTCCCCTCCTTCAGCCCCGGGGGTCATCCAGGGTTGGGCACAGCCCCACCAGGCCCGCCTGTGACAGTGGGGGGGACCGGGCTCCGCGGCTCTGCCAGCCGGCTGGGATCCTGTGCGTGTGATGAAGTCGGCACGGAACATTCCAGCCCTCACTCTTCTGTCGGTGTGGCCCTTTAATGCCGCCGCAGCCCACAGGAGACACCGTGATACTGTTCTAATTATTTCTTTCTCCTGCTGGGAAACCACCTCCACCAGAATGGCTCTTCGGAAACTACCGCCAGCCTCGCAGGGGCAGAGCGGAGATGGGCGAGGCTGGCGTTTCCTGAGTCATGAGCGCCGGTGTCCGACTTAGTATTAACAACAGGGGCAACCGCTCGGATCGACAACAGGAAGGTGAAAATCGAAGATGAAAGAGGCCTGTCCTGCTTGGTAGCTGATGCTGGGGCCTAGAAGGAGGCTGCCGTGTGGAGGGACCCCGTGGGTGCGGTCACATAGGGCAGACACCCCCCAGCAGAAGGCCCCCCATTTCTCTGGAGCCAAGGGGAGCGGGGGAGGGGCGAACGGCATCCCTTTCAAGGGTGCCCATCGGGAGATGCCAGCAGGGTTCCAGAAAGCCACACTGGGGAGGGGGATGAATTCTTCATGTCCTCCCTGTAAGGCCTGAACTGCGTCCCCCAGAATCCGTATGTTGAAGCTCTGAGCCCGAGTGCCCAGAATGCCTCTGTATTTGGAGATGGGTCTTTGCAGAGATCAGTACGATACAATGAGGTCACAGGGGCGGCCCTCACACATTAGGACGGGCGTCCTTGTAAGGAGAGGTGAGGCCGCAGACAGGTGCAGAGGCAGGACCATGTGGGGACCCCGGGAAGGGACAGCCATTGGCAAGCCAGGAGAGGGCCCTTGGGAGGGGCCAGCCCTGCCTTGATGCTGGATTTCCGGCCTGGGAGCTGGGGGACCGTCCGTTCCTGTTGTCTAAGCCCCCGCCTGTGGCGCTCTGTGATGGCGGCCCCCGCAAACTGAGAGACCCCGCTCTCTAAAGACTTAAAAATGCATCGACTCCCAAACAGGGCCTCTGAGATGTATCGAGCCAACACTTTAGACCTAGCTCCTGATGGAGCCCACTTGGCTGTCACCAAAAAAAAAAAAAAATCAGACCCCACTTCCCCGAATCCCGCCTCCCATGTGGTGGCCACTGAGGGTCACCCGGGTCTTGGATATCTGTGCAAAATGTAAGTGAGGAACACTGGCTGGTCAAGAAGAGGAACGTGGGTGGCCCTCCTGTCCCATCAAAGGCCTCTGGGACGTTAGAGGGAAGTTTTTAAATCTACAAAACGCTTTCTACTAAAAAAGGCCTGGCTTCCCAGGAGAGCCCTCCACCACAGCCAGACTGACCCCCGGCTCCCGTGGAGCTGTCGGTGCTGTTCGGATCACCTGTGGCCGTGAACTGCTCCACGGAAAGGCCTGCAGGGCGCGCCCCTCCCCCTACCACGGGCAGAGGGGACTGTGTGTTGGGGCGGGGGTAGGGATCAATGTCTCAGCACTGGTGGGGCCACACACCAGCACTGGGGTACAGAACCCTGCCTTTCAAAGGATCCTGCCCACTGTGCATGACACGAGGGAGCTGAAAAGCCACAACCAGAGGAGGCCGGGCGGTGTTGGGGAGGGGGTGGGGACCTCGGCGGGCCGGCCTCCCTGCCCTGAGGAATCCCCTCTGCTCGCCGCTCTCACTCTAGGTCCTTGTACTTGGTGAACAGGTTGTACAGGACCCTTAGCGTGGACTTGAGATCCAGGTTCACCACATCTGCAGGAGGAAACAGAGACACTGTTGGGGGCGAGAGCACTGAGGCCCTCGTGCCAGCCCACAGGAGACACGGGGCCCCTGCCTGTCCACAGTGCAGTCCTTTGGTTTAAAGATTGACGGCCCCCCATCCAAAATGCCCTGGGCAGCGCCATCCCAGGACAGGCAGCCAAGAGAGGCCCCAGGCCACCAGCCCGCTCTTCGAGCACCTGTGACAGCAGGACAGGGATACTCCCACGTCCTTTCCAGGCCCTGCATTGGCCAAGTCCAGGGACAAGAGGTGCCTATGGCTGTGGGGTCTCCAAAAGCCAAGGACGTCTGCTGGGATCCAACACCCACAGGCCAACCTGTGCCAGGACAGAGGGCAGACCTTCTGGGGTGGGGGAGGGGGCGTGTATGTGCAACCTGCTGCTCCCTCCTGCCCCCTCGAGGTCAAGCAATGGGCTACATGGTCTGGCCCATGGCAGGCCCCTCGGGGGACGTGCCTACTTTGGTGGGAAGGGCACCTAGGTCTTTTTCTCACTTGCCTGCAACCTTAGACAGGTGACCCCCCTGCCCTGGGCCTCAGTCTGTTTGCCTGTGCAATGGGCCCATTGGATCAGGTGATGTAAAAGGCCCTTCTCCAGCCACAGACTGACCATAACCTTGCTTTCCCCCTGCAGGTACTCAACCCCAAAGCAAGAAACAGCATCTCTTCCAGAGGAAGACTAGCCGAGCAGCTACCGTGAACAGGCAACTGTCCTTAGACTGAGGCCCAGAGCATCTCCAGTCTCCGTGTGTCAGAGGAGGGGGTAGGCACGGAGAGCCGGCACAACCTTCCTTCCTGCCCTCCCTTTGAGGCTTCGGCCCTGGCTCCCCCGGTCAGCCATCGCTGCAGTGGGAGGAGGTCAGGAGCCACCGAAATGGGCAGTAGGCCAGTAGGCATCAGCCAGTAGGCCTGATGCCCTCTGTGAATGGGCTGCAGGGGGCTGAGCCGGACCTGCTCCTGGCTCCCCAGGCTCCCTGCCCGGGTGGTCCCACCACCAGCTCCCCATGCCTCCCCGCTGCAGCTCGGACCCACACACGACATGACCGTGCCTCGTCCCTGTAGGGACATCCACCCAACATTCCTCAACAGCAGCAAGCCTTTAATATCCTTGCAAGGCATGAAAGAGCCCCTCTAGCCAGAGCGCCGGCACCTGCAAGGACATGCAGATCCCGAGGCGGTGGGCACTGCTCACGTCCTCCAAGTCAAGTAGTTACTGAAGCCAGCATTGGTGGTTCCGCCAGCACAATCCTCCCGGCCCCAGAAGCTAAGGGCACAGGGGGCACGAGAGACTGGGCGGGCCTAGGGTGGGGCGTTACCTTCAGGGCGAGCCTTGGGGGTCTTGAGTCCTCCGTCCAGCATCAGCTCAAAGGCAAACGCCACGTTGTGGACCTGCCAAGGAAGCAAGAGTGGAATCGGTACATCCCCAGGACCCGAGCGGTCCCTCGCAGGGCACAGGGTAAGCAAGGGGGTTGGATGAAGGCGTTCCCTCAATGGCCCTTATCCCCTCACCCGGGATTGGGGGGCAGCTCAGAGATGCAGGGGTGAAGGCACAAAGCTTGCCCTTGAGGGCTCCAGGATCCCCGAGTGTCTGCTTGTGCCACAGGCCACGCAATGAGAAGTGACCGTGACTCTTCCCCTTTTACAGATGAGAAAGCCAAGGTTCAGAGAGGACATGTCACTTCCCAGAGGCACCCACGCTAAAGCACTGTCCCCAGCACGGAGCGGCTACCCACCGTGTCCTGGGAAGGCCTCCCAGAGCCACGTGTGCACAGCCGCAGGCAGGACACCGTGCTCAGGGGCAGCAGTGGCCCAGGCGCCGGGCAGGCACCGGGGACCCTGCTGGAACGGAAGTCAGCCCAATGGTGGCTGCAGGTGGCAGGGGGCAGGGCCCCATTCCTGGCCTCCTCGACTTGCTAGATGTCACAGGAAGGTGGACACCCCACTCCCACACGGCGTCTCCCTGAAAGGTACTGCTTGGCCCACGAGGGTGCTGGAAGCTTGCATTCTGCTCACAGCCTCTGAAGGGCTTTAAAATAACACCTTCCCCGAGGCAGGTTCCGCCTGACCCCCAGAGATGCCAGGTGACAACCAAACCACAGCCAGCCGTCCACTAGGGCAAAGGCTGTTGGGGACAGGATGGGGGCACCAGAAAATGAAGTAAATCCTAGAGTCAGAGCCGCAGAGCACCCCGGGGTTCCTAGTAATCACACATCCTTCCAACAGTAATATCTGCACGATTTCGGGGTAAGTGAACCGGAAACAGGTTCATTGTACTTATCGTTTAATAATTAACCAGGAAGACCATGTTTGACAAAATAACCCACTGTTGGTCAACATCCCAGCAGCTCGGGGGCCGCCTCACCGCCTCTAGGACCCTTGGTAGCACCAGCACGGGGCAGGCAGCGACCAGAGGGTCCCCATGGGGGGACAGGCCCTTCACTCCGGGGCTGGGCGGGGCTGCCCCTGACCAGATGCAGGAGGCTGGAGGACCCTGGGTCATTCCCGCGGCCCCCTGGAAAAGGCCAAATGGGAAGGCCAAGCTGCGTGTTAGAGGTCTAGGTGCACGGAGTGGGCCCAGCCCAGAGGGAAAGCCGTGGGGTGCACCAAGGCCGCTTTTTGGAGGAGGCCCCGGGGCTGAGATGAGTTAGGACAGGGAGAGACGGGCCCTGGAAAGTGCTGGGTCCTCGAAAGTACTCAGTGCTGACCAGGTCGGGCTTCTGAAACCCCACACCTGCCGCACACCAAGAACAGCTCCCACCCAGAGCCACCTCCCCGCAGCGACTTTCCTTCTGCTTCCTTCTTAGTCCGAGGAAACCACCAGACAAGAAGTCACCGGCACCCTGCTCCCGTCCCCGCCATGCCCTCACCTCCACCAACCCCTCCTGCCTGCAGAGAAGCCGGCCCTGCGCCCAGGGTCCCGGGACAGGGCAGGCAGAGTGGCAAACAGCTCCCCAGACCCGAGGGGACCAGGCCACACACTATACCCCAAAGCCCCATTGCCATCACTGGGAGCCAGCCCCACGGCCAGGAAGTGCTCAAATCCTTTCCCTCTGCAATTCAAGGGATTTTGGAAAACCTGGCCAGGTGACAGAGGAATAGAACTTTCTAGAATAGGAGTAGGCTCTCCAGCTCTGCCCTGCTGAATGAGGGAACCTGGCCGTCTCTCAGCCCCTCTGAGATCCCGTTTCCTTGTCCCCAGGAAGGGAATCAGATGAGGGGACAGAAGGCAAAGCACCTTGAGAACATGAAGCCCTTTCTAGCATTTGCTGGTAAGAACCATCTCTGAGTCTCCAGGACACACTCCACTCCCAGAAAGAGGGACGCTGTGGAATCTTCCAGAAAGATGATCTAAAGGCACAAGATACTCAGCAAAGTGGCTCCCACAGAGTAAGATAATAAAACAAAAAGCTAGAGGTCATACCCGTATCTCAGAAAGCTCAGAGGGTGCCGTTTGTCTGTCTGCAGGAACCAGGGGGTCTGGTCTCGTTTTTTAAAATCTAGTGCAATTGTTTTAAAAACACAGGTCATCGCTCTGCTTGGGGACAGCAGCACCTTGCCTCGGGCAGAGGCACAGACAGACAGACGGTCACTGGGGCCTCTCACGCTCCCCAGGCCAAGGAGGCACCCCCGAAAACTTCCACCCCTGCTGCAAAGGGAGTAAGGCCGGGGCCGGAGAGAAGGCTCCCCTGCCCTGCTTGCGCACAGTCTCATCTTGGAAAGAAACCCAGTTCCGGCCCCTTGGCTCCATTCACCATTCCTGCCGGCATCATTATTAATTAGAACAAAGGAAATCTCTCTCCCAAACAATGCTTCTGCAGCCAGCCCCGTCGGGCCTGGAAACGCAAGAGCCTCTTCCCCACCTTCTCTGTGTCCTCGCGCTCCGCTCGCTCCCCTCTGGCTCATGCTCCATTCACCCTGCCTCGACCATGCCAGGCCCTCTCTAAGCTGTTCTGGTTCCATCTCAGCAGGCGAGGCAGGAACAACATTTGGCCGCGAGCGGACAGCCTGGAAGGTGCCAGAAGTATGCAGATTGATAAACACTGACCCCGTCGTTGGACGCTTCCCTGGCCGCCACCACCTGCTCGCCTTGTCCGCTGCTCTGACTCACGGGTCTAGCACTTTGGGGAAATCCAACGACAGATGCCCCCAGTCCAAAGCAATATGGACAGTGCGTGAGCCAAGTTTTTGAAGGCCACACGCTGACTGCTGCTGTCTGGACGGGCTGAACTCCGGGGAGCCCCGAGCAGCAGGCAAGACATGGGCACAGACAGGGACACGGGGGGGGCAGCAACCCGGATCCAAAGCTGAGGGCCTTTGACCCACACAATCCCATGTGGGGAATTCTCCTAGAAGACAATCCACAGGAAGGGAGACAGATACAGACAGACGGACTGATCGGAAGAGAGAAAGACTAGAGAAGATGCCCTAATAGTTTATTGTGAAAACCACCAGAAACAAGTTAATTGTCCAAGCGTGGGGGAACAGGGAGACAGGGGTGTCGGAGCCACGGGACTCTTGGCCACCACTGAGAACAGCAGTGCTTGGGGAGGGCAGAAGCAGGTGGGAAACCCAGAAGTGACATGGGTACGGCATCAACGGGGGAGGGCTCTACAAGTCTGTGGCAGTGGGCCACCGGGATTAAAAAGGGTACCGTCCCAGGGGAAAGACCCCCACCCGAGGAGGACTGGGCACACAGCACCCGGGAGCGTCTGGCACTACTGATGGGCTTACTTCCATGACTGGGGGTTGGGTCACGTCTCACGGCAGTACCATTTGGCGGCAGTCCTATTTTTCCAAAAACTCTAGCTAGACTCCAGGAAGAGCCATCAGGGGCCCGTCTAGGCTGTGCGCTTTAGCGAGCGCATCTGGGGCCGCTCTGGGGACGGAGACCACACACGTACCTTCTGGTCGAAGCTGTCTGGCGTCAGGTAGAAGTTGTGCAGGGGGACGAAGTAGTCCTCCAGAAGGCCCATGAGCAGAACCAGGTAGACGCCATCTGCAAACTACAGAGAGATGCTGGGTGAGGTGTCGGGGCTGCGCAGGGAGGCAGGGGACATTCTGCGTTCTCTCCCAAAGAAGGAAAATGTTTTAAAGCAAGAAATCCATGCCTTGTTGAGGCACGAGCCTGCGATCAGGTGAAGGACCTGAGAGCAGAGCATCTCGCTCGGGACTGGACATGGGCATGCACCTGTTTGGGGTCGGAGCATGTCCACAAGGACGGGGCCATGGCTCTAGAAGCCGGCAGCCTGGCCACAAGGCCCAGCCCCCCACTACCGGCCTCGGGATAACACTGGCTCCCGTCTCTCGGGGTTAGCATGGGGACGCAGTGAGAAGGCAGACAGGGAGGGCCCAGCACACGGGGAGCGTCCCCATCAGTGTCGGCTGCTGGGACGACCCGTCTGTCCATGACCTGCAGGGTGCCCTAGGCTCTGGTCTGGGGTCTGCTGCCCTGTTCCCCCTGCTCCCTTTGTCAGCTGCCCGAGGACATTCTTCAGCTGTGCTCACGGTGCCAGACGACACTTTCCCCTGCTTGAGCCCCGGTGACCATGAGCCTTTGAGGTCCATCGAGAGGAGCCTCTAGTGTCCATCCCAGCCAGACCCTGAACCCCGGGCAGCACTGGGTCGGGGAAAGGGCTGCAGGCTGCTGCCCTCAACCCAGGTCCCCCAACCCCCACCCCCGGTACCTGGCCTGGCAGCACCATCCACCCACATGAGGGGGACGAGGAATCTAGAACAAAAGCCCCGACTCTCTGGAAGACTGCTCTCCCCAACCCCCAGTTAGCCAGGGAACAATTACTCCTTTTAAAGATAAAGCAATGGGGGCGCCTGGGTGGCTCAGTGGGTTAAGCCTCTGCCTTCAGCTCAGGTCATGGTCTCAGGGTCCTGGGATCGAGCCCCGTTTCGGGCTCTCTGCTTGGCAGGGAGCCTGCTTCCTCCTCTCTCTCCGCCTGCCTCTCTGCCTGCTTGTGATCTCTGTCTGTCAGATAAATAAATAAAATCTTAAAAAAAAAAAAAAAAAAAAAAAAAGATAAAGCAATGGAGACTGGTGAGGACAAAACCAAATTTGCCCAAGGGGACAAGAGAACCGAGGTACAGAAGGCACCCAGAGGGCGGGCCTCAGCCATCCCCACAGAGCACAGAGGGGGCATCTCTGAGGGGCTGAGACTGGCTGGGGTCCGCTGCCTGGCCAGGACCTGTGAGGACCCCAACCTCCCGATGTCTGAGACTGCGTAGTCCCACATGACTGCCACTGGCTGCACGTGCCTACTGAAATCAGACCTTTTTTTTGTTTGAATGTTGCTGGCTTATTCTTTGCCGCTGCGGTAAAACATACGTAACATGAAATCTACCATCTTAACCACGTGTAAGTATCCAGGTCGCTGGCATGAAGTCCATTCATACCTCGTGCAACCATCCAGCCAGTCAGCCGTTCTAGAACGCGCATCACCTTGCAAGACTGAAACTCCTTATCCTTTTCTGTCTGGCGTATGTGGGTTTTTTGTTTTTTTTTGAGTCGTGATAAAACATACCTAGAATGTACCATATTAGCCATTTTTTTAAAAAGACTGCATCTATTTATTTGTGAGAGAGAGACAGCACAAGTAGGCAGAGAGGCAGGCAGAGGCAGAGAGAGAAGCAGGCTCCCCGCTGAGCAGGGAGCCCGATGCGGGGCTCGATCCCAGGACCCTGGGATCATGACCTGAGCCGAAGGCAGAGGCTTCAACCCACTGAGCCACCCAGGCGCCCCCACATTAACCATTTCTAAGTGTACAGTTCAGCCTTGTTGAGTACATTCATGCTATTACGTAACCAAATTCCAAGATGTTTAAACTGAAAAGATGTTTAACGAAAATACAAAATTCCGTTCCTCAGTCACACCACCAATATTTCAGGTGCCCAGCGGCTACACATGGCCAGTGGCTCCTGCAGCCGATGCATGGTGACAGAACTCCTCCATCCCTATGAGGAAGCTCTCTTGGCTGGCGTGGCCCCCTGGTCTGGAAGACTGCCACACGGGACGGGGGGATGGCAGGACGGCCACGAGGGGCTGGGCACCCAGGACCCTTCAGCTCCCCGAGACTAGCGGCGTGCAGCGGATAAAATGAGCCAAAGGAGGACTTTATTAAAAACAGCAGCTCCCCGCATTGTTCTAGGCCGGCCATCAAGGCCTCCCATTTAAAGAAGAAAAGTCGAAATCACAAGTGTCCGATATCACCACGTAGAAAGGGGAAGGAGAGCGAAGAACAAAGACCAAGGCAGAGGGACACCCTCCTTGCCGGGCTTGCCAAGGACGGCTCTCTGGTAGACCGTGCTGATGGGACTGCCCCACCGACACCGAGCCAGCAGCAGGCCCGGACAAACCGGCTCTCTCGGCAACACGAACCCCATTTCCAGGCCATCTGCGAACGACGATACTGCCCCCATCACCTTCCCGGGAGGCGCAGAGAGCCAAGACGGGCGGAGAGCCTCTGCTCCCTTCCATGGCATTCCCGAACCCAGCCCTGGCCCCCTCATGCACAGGGCAGTGGGAGAGATGGAGGCTGCAGGGGAATGCGCGGGAGGGAGAGGGGCACCAGGGAGACTGAGAGCCAGGCAGAGCACCGCGGCTTATCAGCCAACGGACCCTCTAGCTCACACTCATGAGAGCACACATTTGTCCTGAGGTGGGGGCGTGCCCTAGCTGAGATCCCCCCAGACGCCCCACAACTCCCATGGCACTGTCTTCATCAATACCCAGCTTGTAAGAGCACGACCTCCATTAAGCCTCCCCCTATCTGCTGCTCCCTCAACATAAGAGCACAGAGAAGTTGAGTAACTGACTCGGTGTCACACAGCCAGGAAGCTGCCCAGAATACAGAAGTGGTTTTAAACACACACACACATGCCCTGAGCAGGGCTTTGAGCCCACGTCTCCCTGACGCTGAACATTATTTATAAAAATACCTCCTTTCTGCCGGACAGTGGTTAAAAACCCCTTTAAGTGTGATGAGAGAGAAAAAGGGAGACACTGGGTACCTCCAGATCCACGCAAACCAAGGGGCAGAGTCACGGTCTGGGGCTTACGGCCACTCCTGCTGGCGTGCGGGCCGGCAGGAAGTGAGAATGGGGAATGGCTTGCAGGGCTCGGGGCATGGGGGCGGGCAAGCCCTCCCGGGCCCTCAAAGCATCACAGCCTTCTAGGAGTGCATCCTGACGAAGCGAGGGCACCAGCAGCAGAAGCTGAGGGCAGAGAGCCCCTGCACCCCCCGTCGTGAGGGCGGGGGCACCCCATCACAAGGAGTGGGCTTCGTGCCCTGAGGTGCGTTAGGATGGAAGAGGAGGCAGTCCTCAGAGGTGACCAGTGCAGACAGACAGACCGACCGACCGGGCAAGGGAAGAAGGACCAGATGGGATCACGCACACGGACTCCACCAGAAAGACCCGGCATACAAGGGTCACAGAGGACACGCTGCGAGAGGAGCCGTGCAGCAGAAGTCACCATCGTTAACAAAATACACGTGTGTGTAAGACGTCTGGAAGACTCCACATGAACTGCAGTCGGGTAGGTGGGGACAGGATGAAGGGGGAAGGCGGCGGGGAGGGACAAAGGAGGCCTGCGAGGACACCTGCGGACCCCCGATACACCTAACGGCAAGTAACCAGAGGCTAAGTGGGCAGTGTTCGGAAAACGTCACAAACGACGCACAAACACACACACTCGTTACAAACGGCCCGTTGGGCTTTCCAGGACAGACCCATGAGGTCAGTGGTTAGCCAGCCAGGTGGAGGAGAGGTCTGGACCAAAGGGCTCGGCACAGTTATCTCTGGGTGCTGGGATTAAGAACGATTTTTGTTTCGCTTATCTGCATTTTCAGACACTCTACAATGAACCTGAATTACTTTTTTAATTAGAAAAGCAAATGAGGAAAGGCAAAGAGAGAGACAGGAGCGGAGGTAATCACCCGGGGATTTCAGCAGGATCGGCCGGGGGTGAGAGGAACCTGCACCAAGAACGCGAAGGGCTCCGAATTCGAGCACCCAGGTAATCCCGGGAAAATTGTATTTTGTCTCTGATGCCTGCTGATTGCCTGAAGCAGATTTTCACTCTGCGGCGTGAGCTCTGCGTGGGGCGCGGGAGGACACTTCACACGCCGCCCACGGAATAAATATTTCGTGCACACTCACTGGACAGGTACTCCGTGAGCGCTCGCGCAGCGTGCGTGGCCTGGGGAACAGAAGCGGGGGGGGGTTGGCGCGCGGAACATTCTAGACTGGAAGAACGGCCCATGCCAAGGCCCTTCCGTGGGGGATGTGTGACGCCTCCGAGGGTGTCAGGGTTGAGCTGTGTCCCCTAAAAAATGTGCTGGAGTCCTAACCTCGGAACCTGTGAATGTGACCTTCTCTGGAAGAAGTCACTCCTGAAGGCCTCCGAAGGAAGCAGCCGGGTCCACGTGGGTCCAGGACTCCAGCCTCCAGGACCGTGAGGATGGAAATGTCTGTGGTTCAAGCCACTTGGTCTGTGGGACTCAACTCCAGCAGCCACAGGAAACTATGACAGAGGGCCCGAGAGAAGGCCAGAGCAGCTGGGCCTCGCCGTTCCAACTGTAGGGCGGCCACTCCTTGTCGGACCAACAAGATGGCGCCCGTCCCCTTTGCGCCCCACACGGGATCAGAGAGCTGGCTGAAAACACGAACCCCAGAACACTGCTCACCTGGGTCTCCAGTTCCGTCACCTCCAAGTTCAGCTTGTTCAAGTGCTTGTTCACAAACGTGATGAGAGACTGTGAAGGCAAAGACACGGGAGCCGTGAGTGAGAGAGGCCACTTGTTTGCTCCCATCCAACGGGATGGACCTGACCTTGGCCATCACTTGGGAGATGCTCCCATAATCTCCATTGTTTGCTAAAATAAAAGGGTCAGGTTCTCGCAGCGACCCTTGGTTTTAATGGAAAAATGCCTCCATGTACTATCCCCGCTGGAGAAGAAAACGCACCTCTCTGTCCGCCAGCCTGGGAGTACACCCGCTTATCCACACACCCGTAAGTATTTAAGAGCCCTAGAGGGGACAATCAACTCCTCAAGAAGGATGAAACCGTCAGGGGGAGAGGACTGTGTTTTTAGATGCGTCCTAGATGTGACCTGAAATGACAGAAGGCTGACCCGAGGGGCCACACTCACCTGCTTCGGTAACCTTGGGTAAGCTTGAGCTTAGGGGAGCAGGCCGCCAGCTTCTCTCTAGCCAAAGTTTAAAACTTGTCCCTGTAACTCTTCTCCACCAGCAAACCCAGCTTCAGTGGGACACAACACCAGCCACACCCCACCCCGCCTCTGGATACGATGGCCTTTCCTTAGTCATGCTACTCAAGTTTATTGAGCAGCTACTATGTGCCAGGCACTCTGCTTGGTGCCGGGGACACGAAGACGGCAAGACAGGGTCCCCCCTGGAGAGCCTGTGGCACAGTTCTCCATATACGCGCCTGGTAGGGGACACAGAGCAATCAAGGGCTAGAGCCCAGCGTGTGAGATGTGCCATGGAGAGGCCAGAGGAGAGGCCACGGCATCGCCGGATGCCAAGGAAGTGAGCATCTGAGTGGGTGTGGGGCGGGGGCGGGCCAAGCAGGGACCCCGGGCCCATGCACATGCACAAACGCTTTGGGATCTTCAGACTGCCACTGGATGTGGATGGGATGGGAGGATGTAGGAGGGGGCGACCCTGGAGAGGTGGACAGGGACCCCCAGCTTTTCCCTGGGGCACAAGGAGCCATCAACACGGCAACTGTCCTGTGGGGGTGTGGGAGGGTGGGGCTAGAAGCAGGAAGCTGTCGGCAGATGAAAGGATTTGTCTCATTCGTCCCCAGTGCCCAAAACGCATCTTTTCAAAGAATGAATTAACAACGTACCTACGGACAAACAGACCTTGTGCCATGCTCAACGCTACCCAGTATATTGCACACTGGGCCTTTGCACAGACATGATGACATTTTACTCTCACAGCGCCCCTGAGAGGTGGGTCCCGCCTCGGTCCTGACAGGTGGGGAAACTGAGGCAGGTGTTATCATCTGCCTCTGGTCACACAGTTGATAGGCAGGGGAGGGGCCAGATTTGAATCTTCTTGTGCATGAGTTCCTGGGACCCAGATGTGACGGGGGATAGGGGTTAGGGACACTGCTCGGAGCCCCAAGGTGCGTCAGTCATCACCCAAGGATGCTAAGAAAGCTCCACCCAGGAGGGGCACTGCCAGCCTTTTGCAATGTGCTTCCAACGACTAAAAGACTCTCATTGTCCCAGGCTGCAGCAGCCTTTTCCAAAAGAGGGTTCCGCGGGAATTTAATACCTTCTATCACAAGATAAACGAACAGATCTCACCATCGACAATAAGCTTGGAAAATGCTCCTACTGAGTCCCATCTTGGAGAATTCCAACCCATGCCAGCGTATTAAATAAAGGTCCTGGGAAGTCCTGTATTAAGAAACCTGTTGGGGGCAGTTGTGCTAGACAAAGAGCTCTCTCCCCTAGGGCACATGGGCAGAAATGACCGCCCCTTGGATGTTACAGGGAGGTGGAAAGGACACCCATCCTCCCACTGCCTCCCCACGTGAGACGTCTGCAGGTGCTCAGATAACTCCATGGGCCGAGAGCCGAGTCTCGATTCCTTCTGGGTGAGAACAGGCCCTCCCTGCAGACCCCCTGGAAGCTCATCACTCCCCAGCCCCTGACTCCACAGCCTCAGCTCACATGTTTTTTTGTTGTTGTTGTTTTTTCCATCCATAGCCTACACGCAGGCTGCCTGGGCTGATGAAGTGCCTGTCCTTGGCGCTCCTGTTTGGAGGGAAATGGGCCAAACACGCGCTCCGAGCAGCTCAGCCGGCAAGGGCCTGCCTGTGTCCCGGGCGGGCTGTGAATACAGCCTCGTGGTAATGAGGCCTGCTCGAGCCAGCAGGCTGACACACTTGAAAACATTTCCACATTGAGAAAAAGCCTCCAGTCGGAATGAAGGACCACGCGGGCGCTGGCTGGCTAATTCACTCAACAGAAGCAGGCGGGTGGGCAGGGAGACACCCAGGGAGCAGAGATGTTGAGTTAAAAGGCGCTAATTTTATGCACTGTAGTTACGTTTTTGACTATAATTACACTTCAATCCATGTGGCAAACATTTCAGAGATTTCAAACATGTTCCCACCTTCTTCCCGGCACGGAGCGCGTGCTGTAGAGAGAAGCCTGGGGACCGAGGCAAGCAGCCCGGCCTGGAGCTTACCTTCTTCACCACGCTGAGCTTGTCCGGGGCGTGGTCAAAGAGGGTGTCGAAGGCGTCCCGCTCTGCGTGGGCAAGTGGAGAGGCACAGGCAGGGTTGATGGAAACGTCCCTGACACCCCGGGATGTCCCACCCCTACGCTCCCCGCCAGCCCAGAATCCACTTCGTTCCCGCCAGAACCCAGGGGCAGGTGCACTTGGGAGCAAAATCAGGGTAAAAATGCTTTTACGTCCACCCCGCCCTCAGTTTCTATCTTGTAACGTGAAATTCACGGGTAGCCCTGGAACATCCGCCCGCATGACATCCTTGACATGAGGCGTCCCTTGCCCGCCTCTCTCCTGCCAAACGCTCCTTGCAGTGCGTACCAGTAAATCTCGCTGCTACCTCTGAGCACATCTCCCAATCAGCACAGCTGCCAGCCCCACACCAGCCCCAGGCCCTCACCTAGCGGCAGCTGTAGCCTCCTGCCTTAGCCGGCTTCCCACCTCCACTCCCAGCCCTCCGATCCCTTCTCCCAACAGGAACAGAGTACACTGGATCGTTTCTTGCCCCTCCCCATCCCTGCCCCCACCAAAACTCTCCAACAGCTTCTTACCACTCTAGGATAAAATTCATTTGCCCTCCCGTGGCCCACGAGATCCAACAGTCAGTCACCCCCTAACACACACACCCTCCCTGACTTCACGCCACCAATCGGCTTCCTGGCTTCTCCTCATCACACACCTACCACAGGGCCTTTGCACGGGCAATCTACCTGTCACTTCCTTCAGCTTGCTCTCAGATGTCACCACCTCTGAAGGGCCTTCCATGACCATCCACACCTAGAAGAGTGCCCCACGCCCACTCCCTGTCCTCTGACCCCTGGTATGCATCTCAATGCCCTTTGTCACTGCTTGAGAGTACATCTTACTATCATGGGTCTGCTAGAGAGTCACTGCGGGCCTCTCAGCTCTGTGCTGGCTGAAACCAGTCTTGCTTGTTCCCGCCATTGCCTCAGGACAAATGAACAAACAGGAGACCCTGCTCCAGACTCTCTCTCTCCAGCAATTCTTCTGGGGGTGTCCCCCTCTGTGGCAGCACTGGCAGGGCCTGAGGCGGCCTGTTCCATCGTGTCCCACCCATCCTCCTTCTTCCAGGTGAGCCCCGACCTGCCCTGCCACTCAAGGGCCCAGCCGGGTGCTCCAAATCAACGCAGAACCAATCCCTTCCCTTTCCAATGGGAGGCACTGGAGGCCAGGCCAAGACGGCTCTCGGTGGGTAAGCAGCAGCCAGTGGGTGCCTGGTTCTAGCCTGTTGTTGCTGGCAGGGGAGGGGACCTGGAGGCAGGAAAAGCCCCCTGCAGCCCCCCGCAGCTCGGAGTCCAGGCAGGAAGACTGAGGCCTCAGAGTGGATGCAGGGCTGTGTGGAGTCACCGGTGGGGCAGAGAGGGAAAGGGAGGAGGGCATCTGGAGGCCCTGGAGCCCCGACTTCCGTCTTCCAGGAGCCAGCTGTCCCCCCAAGGTGCCCGGGGCAACACAGGACCTCAGCCAGCAGAGAGGCCCACTATTACTAGCAGGGGCTTGAGGGCAGACCCCAGGTGGAGGGCTGGGGTCTGGGGAGCCCAGCCAGAGGGGGTGCGGTGGGGGTAGGAAACCTCCACCGGGTCTCTGGGGACGGCTGGGAGCCCAGAACCAGAGCTGACCCAAGGCTTGCTTCAGCCTGGCCTGCCCATGGAGGAGGAGGGAGGCAGAAATCAGAGAGAAGACAGGCTGGTACCCAAGTAAGCCGGAGAACCAGGTCTCCTGGAGGAAGCGTCCCAGCCCTTCCCCGCAGCCCGGCCCCAAAAGGAAGGCACTCAGTGTCCAAGGTCTAGGGCATGGGGACGCCAACTCACAGCCCCAGCCCAGGTAGCATCCTCCTTGGCCTGGGGGGTGGGGAGAGGGAAGGTGGGAGGTAAAGAGGAAGGGGGAGGTGGAAGGGGGCTGTGTGTGTGTGTGCAAGCATGTGTGGTGTGTATTTGCACACCCATGTCGGCAGCATGTGCATGCACGTGCGTGTGCGTGGGGTGTGTGCAGCGTGCACACACGCACGAGGGCACGCATGTGTGTGTGGTGTGTGTATGGCACGTACGCTCCCATGCATGGGGGGTGCGAGCGTTCACGGGGGAGGACCCCCAGCTTCCTCCACCTGAAACCCAACAGCAACGGAAAGGCTCGACCATGCAGAGCGGCCCCTCCTCCAATCCTCTACCCAGGCAGCTGTAAATTATTTTTATAATCACTGAAGTCAGATGAGACTCAATATGACAGTCTGCAAAGGGAGGGGGGGAAGCTAAATCTTTACAAAGCAAAACACAAACTTTAAATGCAGCTTGAGAAAAACTCTCGGAGCAGGAGAGAGCTTGACGTCAGCCGGGTATATTTAGCTGGGCCACCGCTGGGCTCAGAGCGAAGGCGTGCAGGGGAGCCGCGGGAGGGAGCCGGAGGGAGCGGAGCCCCGCTGCCCCTGTGCCGCCCTCACGCCGGGCCTCGGGAATGAAAACAAGTCCCGGGACTTCAGGCCACTCACTTCCTTCCCTAACCCGTTCCCTCCTCCATGAAGTGGGAGTAAAAATAGTCCCCAGCTCACGGATGGTGTTAGAACGAAACACACAGGACATCGAGGGACAAGCCCCCTGCCTGGCAGGCGGGTTGCTGGGGCTCGGGCTCAGTTCATTCGATGCCCTCTCTGAGCCCGCCCCTCGCTACGGTCCCTCGGGAAGCTCTGGCGACAGTCATGGGGACAAACAGGGAGGGACACGGGCCGGGTGGAGGCAGATGGGTAAACTGAGGTAGCCAGAGAGGGCTCAGAAAGGGGCCAAATCAGCGGGGACGGGCTGGCGTCTGGCCCAGCACAACCCTCACGGGTGTGACCGTCAGTCCAAATAAAGTTGTTTTGTTTGTTTAACCTTTTTAAAATATAAATAGGAATTTCTGGCTCGTCTGCAGGAACTGGAAGTGTGGCAACACGGAACCCGCCTCCCGCCCGCCCAGCGTCAGCGCGCCACCCACGGACATGGGGTCCGGGCATCCCCGTCCGCCCCACCGCCACCCCGCGCGGAGGCCGAAGGGCAGACGACCACACGATGTTCCAGCCACTTCCCCGTTCCTGTGAGCGGCCTGGTCCACGGAAGCACCAAGTCTGGGGCCCACGGACAAAGGGACAGGGGACCGAGGGGGCGTCACACGGGAGCCTCGGGCCGAGCCAGGGTTTCCTGGGACAAGAAAGGGAGGAAGGGCGTTCCAGACAGAGGGAACAGAAAGCGCAAAGAGAAGCACAGGAAAGCCGGGGAGGGTTGCAGACCGTGTGGCCTGAGGGAGGCTCAGAGCAGGTCCCACAGGGCAAGGAGTCCCCCAGGGTGGCAGCCGGAGGTGGCACAGCTGGCCGGGTCAGGCTGCAGTGGGGGCACAAGCTCTGTTGGCAGAAAGGGGAGACCTGAGGAGGAGATGGGGAGCGGAGGAGGAGAGCTTCTCCCCGCCTCTCCCCTGTCCTGAAGCCCAGGGCGGGGGAGGGGCCGCCTGCGGGGGAGATGCAGCCAGCAAGCCCGTTGCCATGGAGACCAGGCAGCAGCTCCCAGCTCCTCTGGGGAGATGGGCCTCCCAGCCCACCTCAGCCAGGACAGGGATGACTCAGGGAAGGGGCGGGCCTCTGTGTGGGGGGCAGGGCAACCCCTCCATCCCAAGCTCACGGCGCTCAGGTGAGAAATGAGCACAGAACAGGACCCGTTGTGAAACCCAGTGGGCAGACATAGCCAAGGAGGGTCCCCCTGGTGTTCTGTAAGCTCCTGGATGTCTGCAGCCCGGGACTGGCGGCTCCGGGGGATGCACGCTGAGGAAGACGCAGCTCCAGCCCACAGGACGCTTACAGTTCAAGGAGCCAAGGGGGAAGGGGAAGATGGAGGGGCAGAGGGTCCCCAGGCCATCCTGGCACCCCGAGTCTGCCAGGCGGCGGCAGCTCCCTGTGAGCCCCAGCGAGTGCGGAGTAAAGAGACAGGCTGGGCGGGGGCAGAGCGGACAGGGCGGGCCTCCTGGGAAGAGCTGAGGAGTGAGCCATGGGGGACAAGCCCAGAGGGAGAACATTCTGAGCAGAGGGCACTCCAAGTGGGAGAGCGGAGGGGCCCCAGGTGCTCTCGGAGGAACAGGGGAGCTACAGGTGGAGGACACGCGGGCGGAGTGAGGAGGCCAGAGAGGAGGCGAGAGGCATGCGAAGGGGGTGGTCTGGAGGGCTCGGAGGCCACCTCAAGGGCCGTGGCTCTGCCTTAAGCCAAGGTGGAGGGTAAGGAGCAGAGTGAGGGGTAAAGGGGTGTCTTAGGGCACCTGACCCCCAAATCAAAGGGCGAGCCTGGGACCAGGACCCAGGGGGAGGGAAGGAGGTCCAACCTCGGTGGGTGGAGGCCTGGAGGGGCCCCAGAGGGCCCCACGGGAGAAGGGCCGGCGGAGGCTGCCAGTCTGGGTACCCGGGGGCTCAGCCCTCGAGCCAGCAGAAGCGGAAGCCGGGGTGGCGCTCACGGCTGTCACCCGCTGACGGCCTGCTCACGTTACGTAAGCAGGGCGAGCCTCTCAAGTAGTCACCCCACTGGCGACTCACAGTTCCACGGCCCCGAAGGCTCAAACGCCGTCATGGCAGCTGAGTCCACTTCTCATACTGCGACACCCGGCTGCTTCCCAGCGCGTCGTCACCCTGTGCCCAGAAGCTACCGCACTGTTTGCCCCCCCGCCGCGGCACACAGCCCCCCGCGGCACGGATGCTCCCCGGGTCCCCCAAACCTCCAACCAGGCCTGTGCCCAACAGGGATGGGACATGGCTCAGAAAATCAAAGACCCTCGATGCTCTGACGGCCCTACTCAGACCCAGGGCCTGACCCCTGTGCCCTCTAGGAGCCTACACCGGCCCCATGGCCTGCACTCCCCACTGCCACGTGACACCCCCAACTGGACATGGGACGGTTCCCTTTTCCTCCCTTTCATTAAAATAACGAAGACACGTAAAAAAGACTGAATCGCTACTCAAAAATCATGAAGACCGTGAACTTCCCCAGAGCAGCATTAGGCTTACTTCAGGAAGTCTGAGGACATCAACAGGGACCCACATCCCCTCTTCGCACACAAGCCACAGGGGTGTGCCATGGGCCCCTATAATACCTGTGAGGGGACGGGGCCCTGTGGTCAGACCCGTGGCTGACTCCAGGGTGGCAGACCTCTCCCCGGGGACCCCACAACTACAGGATGAACTCCAGCCAGGCGGGCTCAAAGGGCACGTGGGAAAACGTGTACTTGGCTTCCACTTCTGCTAACAGCCGTGCTCCCTGCAGAACGTGGCATTTGGGGGTCAAGAGCTTTCTGTTTCAAAATAGTCTCCAAGGCAATGAGCTTCACTCACATGGCCTCTGGCTACGGCACAGACTCCCCACCCTGGAGGGTTTAAACGCTTAAACGCAGTCCCAAGCTGTCCTGCCATCTGCCACCCCTCGCGGAGAGGAAGATAGGGTCATGCTGCTTGCCAGGGGGTTGGGAACAGCTGTCTGGGAACTAACGGGAGTAACCACCTCATCACCCCCCACCAGACTTTTCTTATCCCCCCACTGCCTGCAGCAGCTCGGAGAAGCAGACAGACCCCAGGAGGAGCTACAGGAGACCCCATGGGGTCCTGTGGGCCCTGCACCCTGGGTGACAGCGCGCATCCATGCATCGGGGAACTTCTTGCCACAGCCCGCAAGTGCCAGTGACCTTGGAACCGCCAGCCCTACAGGCACTTACCGAAGCGACCCATCATCATCCTGCAAAGAAGAACAGAGGGAGAGAGCCGTCAGCGGGTGCTCAGAACACAGTGCGGTGAGGGCACGATGGAGGGAACCCCAAAGTTGGAGCCCTAAATTGTCCTGCTGAAGGGCTCTTTATAAAAATGTAAATCCTGTCTTAACCGATTCTCTGTCCCTCTCATCACAAACGCAGGTGCATGTGTGGGTTTCTAAAGGTGTGCACGAGATCAGCAGCAAGTTGCCACCTTGAGTCAAACCACCCCTGAATGCCATTTGGGGGGATTAAATTATGGGAGCAGTTAACAGGAAGAACGGTTCAGCAGATAACGGGTCTTCTGGGGTCGATGAATGGGAAACTTTGAAGTCCAGGGTGCAGACCACCCAAGGGTCCCACCGTGGTGAGCTGCGTGTTCAGAGAAACACGAAACTCGGGGATCCTGAAGAATCAGAAGCTGGACCCTGATCTAGCAGGCAGAGGCTGAAACCACAAGGCACAGAGGCTAGTCCCTCCATGAGGACTGCGAGGGCCCCGTGCACAGGTCCTCCCCTGCTTGAGCTTCCTGAGAGGCGAGGGGGTCTTCAGATTGTCCCCAAATCCCTCTAGACTCGAGTCTTTAGGCTCCAACTTATTTAACAAATACTTCTTGAGCAGCTACTATGGGCATGCCATGAAAATGCAGAAATAAACAGCCCGCTCCCATGAACCCCATGGCCCGGCCCCTAAGCTCACATTTCAACACAGTCCACGTGTACCCAAAGTGTCACATATAGGAGATGCTACGGGAACTAAAAGGAAGCCAGTCATTCGTGTATGGCAAACAGGGAGGGCTTCCTGGAGGACGGGACCTCAGAACCAGCTCTAGAAAGAGACAGGAAGGAGGCCAAGGCTAGACAGAGGTGCAGAGAATCTCTGGGGCTGCAGGAGGCTGGGCTGCCAGAGCGCCAAGGCCAGAAGGAGCGGGAAGGCCAGCGGGCAGATGGGACAGTACTTTGTGGTTTTCGCAGACATCTGGTGATTTAGATGCTCCATCCAATCCCCTATGGCCACACAGAGGGGTAGGGATTGGGGAGAGCACGCCCAGAGGCGGGGAGGCCAGGCAGGAGACTGGCGCTCCTTCCCCATCCTGAGTCTGGGGCCACACAGCACTTTCCACAAGCTGCCCAGGCTGGAATCCACATTTCTACAGACACGGCCTTTGTCACCTGCTAGCCCGCCAGCCCTTGTCCCAAACCACTCCACCTCCCAGTGCCCAGCACAGTGCCCTCATGCTGGTCACTGCTGTGAGCTGTACGGGCCATGCACCCCTCTCTACCCACCCCCTCCCCCGCTAGCTCCGATTCCAGAGCTCCTAACTCCCCCAGCTGCCCTCCCTCAGGTCACCAAACCCTGGCCACAGTCCCTCCCAGGGCTGCACCCCCACCCCACTGCCACAGGCCCAGCTGCCTCTCCCAACAGCAGGCAGTGCCTCTCCCCCGCCCACCCAGGATGATCTTGTGACTTGCTCTGACCCACAGAATGTGAGGACAGCACATGGGGCAGGGGGCCAGAACCCTGAGGGCACCCTGGGAGGAAACCCAGGTCCCCAAGGACGAGGCACAGGTACAGGGACAGAGGCCTGCCAGCCGCCAGCACCAAGCACCAGATGAACTGAACACCTGCCCGGCTTAGCCCAGCTCAGTCCAACCCCGCATCATCAGCAGGTAACGGGACTGTCGTTTTAAGCTGCTTGGATTTGGGGAGGGGGGCGGCTTGTAACATAATCATAAGACACCACCCACTCCTCATTCCCCTCCTCCTGCTCCCAAACAGGCCAGGCTGGAGTGAGCACCAGGTCCCTTGTCCCTTGCGCCGCCCCTCCCCCGCCCCCACCCCCATGGATTTGGAACAGATGTGCTGCCCATCAGGCCACATGGCAGTGGCTCCCCAATTCACCCGGCAGCTCCCACTCCAGGAGTGGTCCCCCGTGTCAGCCTGGATCTGTGAAAGACCGGACGTGAATGCGTGACATGGGAATTAATCACTCGGTGGACGGAGCAGGAGGGTTCACCGAGACGATCCAACTTTCATGTTCTGTTTCATCTGAACCAGGTTTGGGGGAGAGGCACCAATGCAGTGATTTTTAAAGATCCTTAACAAGGGGCCGTGGGGGGCTCCTAAAAGCTACCTGCAAAACAGACCATTTGACTGGCTACGTTCAGTAGCTCTGAAGCCTTTTAGACGTCTTAAAAGTTGCCGTCCGGCTTTCCCTACGAGACGAGCGACAGTCCGCACGCTCTCAAAGGAATTTCTGGGTCAGTAGTGTGGCTCTCTCTCCCACGGAGCTGATGCCCGGGCGGACAGATGAGCCGCGACAAGGGGTCCCCTGACCATTCGGAACCCCTCCTCCCCGCACCCAACCTTCTCGAAGTTCACCTTCTAAAATAAGGAATATACGTCCAAAGGCTTCGGAGAAGAACTCCGTCCTCACACGGAAAACTCTGAAGACGCCAGCACACTCACCTTACAAAAGCTCAAGGTTTTAAATTCCCCTTAGCCGTTTCCTGCTTGTAAAAGATACTGAATGGGATCGGTTCTATTTCCACTTGCTTACCATTCTTGGTGCCATTCCAGAAAAGATTTCAGGCCGCCTCGGTAAGTTCTAATTCCCGTGCCACATGTGGTTTGCCTACTTTTCTATTTGGGAGAATTTCTCATTTAAATACCAGATCAAACTGCTATCTTGCCCTTCCTCGCAAGGGAAAAAAAAAATCCTTGAAGAAAAAGTGCACGCGGGTCATTAAGCTAGGACAGCGCTTGCGTGCGGGTCTCATCCCTGGGTCGGGGGACGCGCACAGAAGTGGCCCCCGCGTCCGTGCCGGTCCCCGGCTAGTGTCCACTTACTCCGTTGTCGTGGTCAGCTCCTCCGTGACGTGGCTGGAGTGCAGCAGGCCTTCTCGCTTCTGCAAACCCCAAAATGAACAAATAAACACACCAACACGCGGGCAGGCAGAGGCGACAGGAGGAAGGACATCACTGGCGTGGTCCTGAGCTGCGTGCAGACCACCCACTAGACAGCATCCAAGCCACGCCCGCGGGGGCAGACTTCAGGTGACTCGAGGGAGTGACCCTTTTGGTGGCTGGAAACTGTCCCCTCCCCTCCTCGACTCTCTCCCTAGGCTCTCTGCGTTGCTCTGAGAGCAGGCAGCTGGCGGGGGCGGGGGGGTTGTCAAGATTAATACCCTAGCTCCCCAAAGGGAACCCATATGCCGTGCAGCTGGGAGAGGGACGGAGCACGGGGAACCCCCATAACAAGGGGAGCAGCCAGTATAAGGACAGGCACGCTTGCCTAAGTAGGATGCCTCCCCCACACCGTCCGCCCCAGAAGTCATGGCCGTTCCGAACCTTGGAACGTGACCTTGTTTGGAAACACGGTGTTTGCAGATAGAGCTAGTTAAGAGGAAGCCGTAAGGCACTAGGGTAGGTCCCAAATCCAATACAACCGGAGTCTTCCTAAGAGAAAACAGCCACAGGCACAGAGGGAAGACTGACAACAGAGCCAGTGCCTGGACAGACGCGCCTACAAGACCGGGAAAGCGGAGGGCTGCCTGCGGCCACCAGAAGCTGGAAGGGGGAAGGCAGGATCCTCCCCTAGAGGCTTCGGAGGGAGCGGGGCCCTGCCGAGTCCTGTGTAGGCCTTCCGGCCTCCCTAACAGTGAGGGAACAATGTCTGTTATTTTAAACACCCAGGCTGTGGTCTTTTGCAACAGGAGTGCTAGGACACAACACTGTGTGTGACAGAATTCTCCAGAAGCCTGCAGGTGTGAAGAGGCACGGAGGGTGGCAGGGTGGGGGGTCAGGGATGGGGAGTAGCCTGCATGTCCCCAGACCCCAGGGTGGCTCTCACCAGCCAGCTAATCCAACCACTGTAAGCCCCTACGTGAACCCCTCGAGACACGGGGAACTCACTCCCCACTGGGGGGTGGGCCCATCGTGGACACCTCTGGAGATTGGAGCTCCCCAGCCCTTCCTGAACTTGGCCTCCGGGGAAGCCTCGAGGCTGGTTCTTGCTGGTGAAAAGCAGGCACCCTGCAGCGGAGCCCATCAGCGCCCACGGGCTCCCGGAGAGCCGCCCGTGAGGCCGGAGACACTTCATTCCCTCACGTATCCACGCACCTGTCGGGCACCTACTAGATGCTGGGCCCGGGGCGAGGTAGCAGACACACGAGGCTGAGTATTTCAGTTTTATAGCATAATCTCAGATTTCTGGGGAAATCACTGCAACTCGGAGAAATCAAGAGCTCGCCTGCGGCCACGCTGCCAGGTAGTAAAGAGGCCCCTGTCCTCATCCCTTCCCTCCTTGGTCCCCACATTCCTTGCATCTCCCATCTCCGACCGGAGAACCGGGCCTTGGGTCTGGGAGGAGGGCTTCTGAGGCCAGAGGCTGGCCAGTTCTCGGGACCTCCGCCCCCCCGATGCATGGCCTTTGGGCAAGTGCTTGCCCGCATCAGTAAAACTTTCTGAAAACCCAAAAGATTTTCTTGGACCCAAGCACAGCCTGAAAGGAAATGCCTTAATCACCAAGCCATACAGCACTCATGGGGCCCCGAGACTGATGGACACGGGTTTGGGAACCACACGCCCACGTGTCCTTGGGAAGCCTTTCCCGGCTGGTTGCCTCGGGTGAGCACCGAGGGCTGGGGCAGCAGAATCGGTCCCCAACCCCATCACCACCATGGACCATAAACCTCCCTCCTTAGGAAGCAAGCAGGGCCCCCATGGCGTGGGGAGGGGGGAGTAACCCTCGCCCGATGCCAGAAAGGGGGCATTCCCGCCCCGCAGGGTCTGGGCAGAGCTCCCAGGGTAACGGAGGGGACAGGCGGCTTCATAAAACCAGGACCAGCCAGAGCCTTGCAGCCCGCAGAAGGCACGGAGCCTCTAAGGGAAAGAGTGGAGCTGGACATCACAAGTGCATGAACACACAGACATCCGGGTTCCCAGCAAAACCTCATCAGTCTGGCAGGAGAGCGGTGCTTGCGCAAGCAGAGTGTTTTCCCCGTTTGGTGTCCCCGACAGCCAGGGCTCAGGGCCAAGTACACAGTAGGTGCTTCCTATGCATTTACTGGACAAGACCGCAAACACAGAGTCGGGGCTGGGTCTGTCCCCTTAAACGCAGGGGACACGGCAGGAAAGGCTGCTTTGCCCCTGCCAGAAGGACCCCAGCTCCCAGTGACACCTCTCCAAGGGAAGCAAAAGAAACGACCCTAAGAGGGCAATCGTGAGGACTGGAGGAGATAATTCACAGCAGATGCGGAGAAAGCTTTCATCAGGGTATCCATTTCATACCGCTGGTCTCAACCCGCTCCGGTGAGTAATAAGCTCATTCAAGAGAACTGAATTCCAACCACTTGGCTTTGGGGAGAAATGAATGTTCTTTTTAAAAAAATGCTGGAAAATTAAACCTCAACACACTCATTGCCTTTGAATCTGCCTCTCTCCAAATCAGTGCCATTGTTCCGGCTCCAACATGTGTCCCCAAGCCAGGGCAAGACACACATTTTGTCAAGAGGGGAGAACAGAAGGTGGCCGCACAGGAGGGAGGGAAAAAAGCAGCAGTGGGGGGAGTCCACGGGAGAAAAGCGCCCCCACACCCCACACCCCACCGCCCCGCAGCATGGCGGGCAGGTCCGCCGCCCACTACTCACCCGCACGACCACCACTTGCACGGACACGTGCTCGGGGAGGCGGATCGGGGCGCGGAAGTGCATGGCCAGGGCCACGAGCAGGTGCAGGATGGCCACCAGGTTCTTCCCGTGGATTGCTGGTCGGGGAGAAAGAAGGGAGCTGGTTTAGGTCAGGTTCTGCAGGAACCCCGAGCCCGGGTCCAAAAGGCAATAAAGACACTGCGTCCAAACGAGACCACGGAGAAAAACCACGGTGGGGGGGGGAGCGGGGGCCACAGGAAAATGAAGATGACGAGCGCCTCGTGTGAGTCTACTTCTCCTCTCTAATTAGCTTTCCTTCCTGTTGACTTTCAGGTGACACATGCAACCGCTTTCAAAGCACAGCATTTGTAAAAGGGGTAAGCAGGGGTGGGGTGGTAAGGACACAGAGCGGGCAGGAGAGTGAGGTTAGCCCAGGGAAGGGAGAATTTTGTGGAAAATGGGTCATCATGGCCACTTAGGGGTCACAATAATGTGCATCACTCTCCCGGCCGCTCAGGTCTCCCTCTGCCCCATCACCGGCCTGCGCAAGGGAGGAGAGCAAGGGGGGGCGGCACTCTGAGGGAGAAGATGGGAACCCCTGCTCCACCTCGGTCCCTGGCCGCCGTCCCCAACACTCCAGCTCTCCAGTCCTCGGACAGGTGCGGTCGTACTCACTCCCCTGCAGTGCTTACAGCTTCCAAACACCCCAGTCCTCCCCGACGGCGCCCACGACCCTTGAGGCAGGCTTGGGTCTGTGACACGTCCCGATGCCAAGAAACCAGGCGCCGTCAGCCACAGCCTGGGGCTCGTCCGTCCAAAGCCCAGGGGACCCTGGCAGCAGGGAGGGCCCTGCCTGCCCTACACTGAGGATGGGGGGGGTGAGACGGGGGGGAGCCGACAAAGAACTTTCTGGCTTTAGTTCTTCACCTTCCCGGTGTCACGTCTCGGCTGGGAAGACCGTGATGCCACATACCGGCCGTGCGAGCACACTCCGGGATCTACCCAGAGGCCGGCATGAACCTCTTCCTGGGGACCTTGCTGTCGGGGCCACTGGTGTATGCGCTTGGCTCCCTTCCAAGAACCCCACAGAGCTTCTCTCTCTTTCCCCCACTTCCTCTGGGAGCCTCCCCTGCCCACCAGACCAGAAACATCATCTCTCCTCTCTAAAGCACGGGGGGGAATAAGGCAGTGACAGGCGTGACTTTGTCCCTCCCCCAGGAGCGAGCTCCCAAGAGCAGGGACGCTGGCTCTGGCCTGTCCCAGCTGCCTTCCAGACAGCAGCAGCAGGAACGTGCTCTGGGGTTTTGAACGTGCAAGCCCAGAGAGGCCACGATGAATGACAGCATGGCAAGCTGCGGGGACAGGCCCGGTGGCCCCCGAGACCACTCACAGTCAACGGTCCACTGGAGCGCCCGGCCGTGGGGCCGCAGCAGGCCGTGCACGGCTTCAAGCACCGTCCGCAGCTTCTGCTTCTGCCCGATCTCAGATTGCGTCACCTCAGCCACGTTCAGCTTGCAGCCCGCCAGCTTCTCTGCAACGAGAAGGACGAGAGCGAGGCACAGGGGTCAGGAGACGCTGGAGGGTCCCGGGGCCGCCGGTGACCCAGCTGCAAGGGGGCTGGCCGCTCCCTCCCCCAGACTGGGGCGAGCAGATCATCACAGCGCTTGGAGCCTTCTAGTCCTTCGAGCTCCTTGGGAAAGTACTCTAGAGCCGGAAAGGGGGTGTGGAGGTCGAGGCCAGACCGGGAGGTGTCCCGCTTAGGAACATTCTAGGCACGTGACATGGGAAAATGACGCGAGTGCACCTGCGAGGCAGGGAGGGGACCCGCAGGGACTCCGGGGATGGGGCCAGAGCAGGACAGGCGGTGCAGTGGGTCCCCTTGTTTCTCTAACAGCAGGACAGACACCACGGTAAGGACGGCGGGATGTTCGCAGACATTGCCACGAAGGACTTTATCCCTGAGAGCAAGCCGGGAGCAACCTGGGGGACCCTGACAAGAACCGCCCCATCAGCTTGAGATCTAGGACAGACCCCAAGCCCGGCCCAGGGGCAAGCTCCGTCCACTCCCCCACCCCCACCCCCGACGCAGGTCCCCCACCTGCTAAGGGGCAAGGGGAGGAGGGGCTCTACAACCCAGCTGTCCTCCTGACGGGCTGTCACTCCTCAGCAAAGCAACAGCAGCAGCAGAACACGGTGACCTGTTCCCTGGGAGGGTGACCGTGCTGCCTGATGCAGAGCCCCACTGGCTGCGAGCCAGGACGTGGCTGCTGGCCGTGGCCCCGACAGGAGGGACAGCATACAAGCCGTGGAGTCCAGGCCGGTCACGGTGGGGATCCCGTTTTGCAGGTGGTCCCCAGCAAAGCTCTGTGTATGGGGGCCCCTCACTCAACATTCTCTCCCTGCGTCCTCCCCACCCTTCATCAGAACAAGAGTAAACCATGTTAATATTCCCTGCAGGATCCTATTGTAGAGCAATGCCGGTGGGGCTTGGGACGCCCCTCCCTCGCTCCCTCCTTCCTTCCCCTCATTCCTTCCTTCCCTCCTCCTTTCCTTCGCTAGCTCACAAAAGAGCTATCTGAGCACCTGTGTGCCAGGCACCGTCCTGGGGCCAGATGCAGCAGACAGGAGGCTCCCCAGCGGGCTGGCAGCCTCGCCACCACCACATGGGGCTGCCAGCCGCAGCCGCCTCGAGGGCTAGAAGCGAAATAAAGCACCTCCACCAAGGGCGTCCTGCGGGGGCTGTAAGTGGTTGCCGTTTCCATATTTTGATGTCCCTCTGCCTCCGGTAGGTCCCAGCTGGATAAGCCACAGCTGTTCCATACCGGACGGACACCCTGAAAATACACAGCAGGACCCCCAGGTGTGGCAGGGCGGAGCGCAGGGTCCTGGGGAAGGAAGGAGGGTGACAGAGTCGGGTGGTCCAAAAGCCTCACCTGCTGGGAGACGGGGAGCCCAGCGCGCTCTGCCACCCCCTCCACCAGGCAACCCTGCAGACCTGCAGCCTGAACGCGGTGGCTGGAGGAGGTGCGGCGGAGAGGGGAAGGAAACCACACTGGCCTGTTAGGGGTCCGGGAATGGAGCACCACAGACTGGGGCGTACACGATGTAAACTTGCTCTCAGCACCCTGGAGGTTAAAGATTGGAGACTGGGGGTCGGCAGAGCCGGTCTCCCCCGAGGCCTCTTTCCCCAGGTCCTCACGTGCATCTGTGTCTTGATTTCCTCTTCTTAAAAGGACCCCAGCCCTATGGGTTTAGGGGCCACCTTCCAACGATCTCATTTCAACCTAACGACCTCTAGAAAGACCCTGTCTCCAAATAGTCACACTGGGAGGTTCTAGGGATTACGATTTCAACTTAGGACTCCTGGGCAGGGGGAGGGCGGGGTGGGGGGACACAATCCAGCCCATGACAGGAACCGAGGAGGCTAGTAGTTCCCGGGTGCTGCCCGAGGCCGGTCCTGCCGGTTCTGCCGCATGGGAGAGGATCAGACAGGCTGCCCGCGTCACCTGCATCACTGCCTAGTGACGGGCTTTGCTGCGGCAGCACCTGCCTTCGGAGCACGGAGAGGGATGGAGGAAGCTGGGGGTGGGGGTGGTCCTCAGATGTGGCAGGCAAACGAGCTGCGGCTGAATGCGGGGCCGTGAACACGCCTTGCGCAGGGAGGCCTGCCTTTTGCAAGGAGAAGGGAGCTCCATGAGTTAGAAGCAGGACCCCAGCAGGCCCGGGAGCCCCCAGGGGACCCTGGCAGCAGCACCCACCCTCTGCCCGCAAATGGCCCATCCTGCAGAAGGGTTCCACCTGCTGAAGCCTGCCACGGGGCAGAGTCGGCAGCTGTGTCCAGAGTCTGCTCTGAAGAAGAGGGACCCATCCAGGGTAGTGCTGGAGACTCACACTTGGCGACCTCACGTGGCCGAACCAAGAGGTCCGCCCTCTGTTCTCACGCCCGCCTCCTTGAAACACCCTTCCTCCACCCCTCCAGAGGGAGCACTCCCCGCGGGCCTCCTCCCTCGCGGCTGGACCCTCAGACTCCTTCACGGGCTCCTCCTCTTTCTGACCCCTTCCTGACCAGGCAGGGCCCCGGCCGCAGACCTCTCCTCTCCCCAGGTGCACAGAAGTCAGCTTTGGCCTTGGCCCTCGCCACAGTCTCCTTTTCGGCGTTGGCTTCTGCCTTTGGAGACAGTGACGAGCCCAATGTCTAGTCCATGCAGGTGCCGTTCCTGCTAGCCCTGGGCTCGCGGACCACGTGCTCGCACGGGTCACTGTGGCATCTCGTCAGCGCGGCAACACCAGCAGTAAGCCATCGTCGAGCAGGCAGCGCGTGCTGATTTTCTGTTCAAACCCGAATGTTCTCCTCCACGGGTCTCTTCCTCCCGCAGACCATTGTGTCAACCCCCGTGACATGGGAGTGATTTTAGAATGGCCTGATCAAGTGCTCAAGTAAGATACTGACAAGGGACAGACGGCAGCTGCGCCGACAGAGGCTGCCGAGCGAGAGTCGCTCCCGTGACACTCTGTGGGTAACACAGCCAACGCGGGACGATGGAAAATCACGCAGCTTCACAGCGCGTGTGGAATCTGCCGGCAGAGGAGGGGACCAAAGGATGTGCCTCGAGGGGCAAGATTTCTTACCTGATACCTGCTCTAAAGACCCCTGTCACTTGTCGCCTGGCAGGCGCCAGCATCGTTGACAGGCAAATTCAGAGCCCGTCCTATGATCCGGTGACAGTACCGAGGACCCCCCCTACCCCCCACTCCCCCCACTAGAACTCAAGCTTAGGACACAATTTTTTCAAGCAATTGGGTTAAAGGAGCCACGGGGGCATGCAAAAGCATCAGAAGGAAAAAAAATCCAAGGGCTATTACTCTGAAGTTTGCTTCTGAAACTGCTAGGAAGAACCTCTTTCTGCCAGGAAGCCAGGCACCTGCTGGAGGGCCCGTTTCCTGACAGCGGCATCACCCACGGCCAACACTTTGAGCCCAAGGGCCGAAGGGGAGCTCGGTCCTCACTAGGACAAGGAGGACAGCCGGTAACCCGGGCAGCTCCCCCATCGGAAGAATCCTTGCCGGCGGATCCACAGATGCACACCCCCCTCCAGTCTCTACTGAAAGCGGGGGTCACCGCGCGTGTCCACTGTGATGACCCTGAGGGCACCGACAGGGCTGAGGATGACCCTGGGAATAACTACACCAACACAACGATCTAAAACACCAGAACTCCAACCGAAGCTTTTTTTTATCCGCACGTAATCCACGTAAGGTGTTAGATCAGTTCCAGGTATACAATGTAACAATTCAATCTGCCATTTTTAATAATAAACAGGCGATAGTGATTACCAACCCCGATAACGTTTCAGACTTGGGCTTGTACCTCGGACAGTCAATCCGAGACGGGGATCCTTGGCTCAGCCAAATCCTGAGAAATTCTGGGCCGTGTGGCATTCGGCCAACTCGCGAGTCTGGGCCGCCGTCTCTGGGAGAGGTTCCCAGGTACCACGATGTGAAGCACCAGCTCTGGGTTGCGGAGCTCTCCACCCTCACCTGGCCGCTGACCGAGCTAGAACGGGTCCCGGTTCCTGCAACACCCACCTCCTCACCCCCCAACCCCACCCTCCTCCCAAGGGGCTCCTGGTTCCCCAGCTGCTCCGGGACAAACCCAGCTGTCCCGTCAGACTCGACGTCAGCTCCAACCTCCAAGATCTCTCCCCCGGGGTCTGCACCTCCCCCTAGTCTGAGCCACGTCATCTGATACCCAGGCTCCCTGATCTCCCACGTGATCTCAGCTTCTGCCCCCGAGCCCTCCCTTCTGTACCCGGAAGCCCAGGTGACTCTGTAAAACGCTTAGCTCTGATCATGTCACGGCCCTGCTCAAAAGCCCTAGCGGCTTCCTATCACGTAGAATAAAAAGCCTTTGTTGACCAGGGCTGGACGAGACCTGGCCTCGTCCGATTTCCCAGCCCTGTCCAGCCCCCCATGACCCCTCTCCCCCCCTCCTGCAGGCTCTTCCCACGGGTCTTTAAACACTACACTCTTCCTCACCTCAGAGTCTTGGCCCAGAATGTTCTTCTGAGACATCTGCTCAGATGTCTCCTCCCCAGAGGACCGCCCCCACCACCAGACCCTCTCCAGCCCACGACCCTCTGGCTTCCTTCCTAGCGTGTGCCACTCTTAAAGCATCTGTCTGTGTCCCGTAACATTTCTCCTTCTTCCTTCTGCCAAAATGAGGGGCACAGGTGGGCGAGGGGACGCCCTCCCTGTTGTTACCACTGCATCTCCAGAGCCCAGACCCAAACCTACACAAGTTCAATCTCCGTCCAACAGACGGACGACCTAGACAAGCACGACTTTTTCCCTCCAGAGGCACTTTCAGAGGATGGGCAGAGTAAGGCAATGACATATGGGCCATCACCAATTGCGTGTCTTTCAGGGCAAATTGCATCAGGCCATGCCCTCCCCACCACCCCCGCAGGAGGGCTGGCCTGCGGAGGAAGTGGCACCGTCCTTGTCCCATCTCCCGGGCTCCACAGGAAAGTTCTGGAACCTGGGCATGGCCTGCTGCCACCAGGAGTCGCCACCTGGAGCGTGGGCTCAGAGCTGAGGCTCCAAGGCTGCCCTGAGGACGAGCAGCCCATGCCCCCTTGCAGAGAATCGAGTGGCCCTTTGCTGGGGATGCCCAAGACTCACCCAAGAGCTTCTGGAGCACCTGCCCGTCGTAAAGGTCCTCCTCCAGCTGCTTCACGATGATTCTCTCCTCCACCAGGACGTCGTTGATCCAGTCAATGAGAACCTGCGGACAAGGAGCATCATGGCCTCACTTACCATGCCAGGCAGACCAGGGCACCACCAGAGCAGACCCGTAACTGAGCGCTGCTGGGCACCGAGACGCACCCCGGCACAGCAGCCGGGCAGACGGGAAGGGAAAGATGCGGCCTCGGCGGCTGGACTTCGCGTGGGATTTCATGAGGGGACAGCTGGAGGGCTGCTACCACCATGACCCTGGGTATCCTCCTGGTGGGAGCTTGGGTGGACAGGGATGCTCTCAGGAAAAGAAAACGAGGATTCCTGTTCACGGTGGCTTGGAGGAAGGGGTAAAGTGTAATAGCAGCACTGGCCCTCGGGGCCCGAGGCATGACAGGTGGCCCATTCGACATCCGTCCATCCCTCCCCTCCCATAGGATCCACCCCAGAGCAGCTCCTGCCACCCTGAGCCTAAAGCCCTGGAGAGAAGGCGGTCCCAGACGGCCCGTGATTGACAGCTCCGAGCCCCTCTTCTTCCAACAGCTTTACTGAGATAGAATTCACATCCTATACCATCCACCCTTTGAAAGTGTGCAATTCAGGGGTTTTTAGTCTTCATGGACTCGTGCACCCATCACCACAATCAGCTGAGAACAACATCATCGCCCCCAAAAGAAACCCACAGCCCATAGCAGGCCCTCCGAGCCCTCCTTCCAACCACTCAATTCTGCTCTCCGTCTGTGGATCAGTCTATACTGATCTTTCGTATAAATGCACTTTCATGCCAGTGGGATTTCCTATAAATTTCGTATCAATTGTACTTTATGTAATACAGGATATTCTGCATCTGGCTTCTCTCGCTGGGCACGATGTTTTCAGAGCCCATGCGCTCCGAAGCCCGGGTCAGAACTTATTCCCTCCCGTGGCACAATGACACCCCAGCACACGGATCTGTCACATCTCGTGGGTCCACTCGTCACAGCTGAGGGCTTCTGCACTGGAGCCACTTTTCGTGGCTTTGGGGAGTCCTGCTACCCGGAACGTGGGCGTCTCAGTTTCCATGTGGACACGCGCTCACTTCTCTTGGCCGGCCTCCCGCTGGAGACCTTTCTCAACAAAGTTTCCACTCTCCTCCTGGCGACCCACGACCAACGTATCATAAGAGATGACAGCTTCAGCTGTGAAGAGATCTATGGAGAAACGGGATTCCATCTGGCCAATCCCACTTCAGCCACTAAAGAAGACGGACGCCTGAACCCACTCAATCAAAAATAGAACAGGACCTTCCTGTGCAGGCAAAACTAATAAAACTACCTAATTGGTCTCAATGACCTCTTGGAAACGGGACGTTAGTGCCCCTCTCGAAGACGAACGAAAGGGCACAAGTCCATAATATCGAGTTCTCTGTCACCCTCTGAAACCGATGTAGCCTGCGAAACAGGCCACAGAGCAAATGTCTGTGAAGCATCTTCTGTTTTCCCACTAACTCAAAAATATTAAATCAGACACACAATCCCATGAAGATGGAAGGGAACACAAACGCAGGTCTGGAGGAAGGCAGAGGTGAGCAGCTCTGCGGCATTCTGATTTCGACAGAGCCACCCGAAAGGTCAGCAAACAAGCCAGCGACGGTTCTCCCACACCGTCCCCCGCCCGCTCCCTCCCGCTCCCTCCCCAGGGCCAGCTGCCCGGGTTGGGAGCCTGGCCGGGGGTCTGGAAGCCGGAGCTCACCCCCCTCCCTCCTTCCAGCACCTTCCTCCACGGACACCATGCTTGCCCAGCTTGTGTCCCCCTCTCCACCCTCCCTTCCAGCTCCCCCGGGGAGTCTTCCGTGACCTCTGCGGCCATATCTCTGAGGCCTCGCCCTGCACAACTCTTCTTCTTGCTCTCCGCTCTCTTCCAAGGCCAGCTCATGCCTTCCCGCAACTTCCAACGCAATCCCCAATCAGAAACCCCTAACCATGCAGCCTCACCTCCATGATCCTGCCGTCCAGGTATCCCTAAAAGCATCTCTGAAAGAATTCACCTCCCTCCAAACCTGCTCCTTTTCTAGGAAAGAAACATAACGCCATCCACCAGCGCCTGGACTTCACCCCTCACCCCACTTCTGCCCACCTCATAACTGGGCCCACTTTTCACCCTCTCCTCTTCACTGTCCTTGACTAAACCACCTCCCTGAACCAAGGCCACTTCCAACTGAACATCCAGCCTCCTTGCTGGTATCCTCAAAAACCCCAGGTTCCTCTCTGCCTCAGGACCTTTGCATGTGCCATTCCTTCCAGCCTGAGCACATCTCCTTCCCCCACTCCCTGGCCAGCTCACACTCATCTCTCAGGTCTCAAAAGTCCCTATCATTCTCTGACCACCCCGTCCCATCCAGGCCACGAGCCCCATCACCCCCTCAGCACACCCAAGCACCATTTCCCTGACCCTGTTCACATTTATGTCATGATCTCCCCGACTGGACCCAAAGCTCTGTGGGAGCTATGGCACCAGTGGCTCCGTCCCCACCACTCGGGGCTTACTGCCTGCCAGAAGCAGCCACCAAGTTGACTAACCAATTTACTGAGCATCCACTACGTGCGACATTCTGGGAATAAACAAGACAAAAGGGGCCTCTGTTCTGACATTCGAATTCGACATGCAAAGAGACATAAATACACACACTTGCAGACTGTGATCCATGTTAGAGAGAAAATAAGGCAGGGTAGAGTGGAGAAGGCTGACGAGACACCCAGCCAGGCAGTGAAGGTCAAACGCCAAGAGTGACCGGCCATGTTGATGGCAGGTGCCCTGACCTGATACGATGGGATGAGAAGGGCACCGTACCTCTCTGCGGTTCCTCCTGAACGGATGACCCCACTCTAATCCGGAGGAAAACACCAGACAAACTCCCAGAGAGGGGCATTCTCCAAAATTCCAGGTTAGCACTCATCAAAACGGACAAGGTCATCATACACACGGAAAGTCTAAGAAGCTGCTGGAGCCCAGAGGCGCTAAGGAGACACGATGATGAACTCTCATGTGGGCTCCCGGACAGGGTCCTAGACCGGAAAAAGGACAGTGGGAAAAAAACTAAGGAAATCCGAATAAAATGTGGACTTCAGTTAACAGCAACGTATTAATACCGAACAAACGTACCACGCTATCAGAGAATGTTACTAAGAGGGGAAATCAGGTGTGGATTTATGGGAATTCCTTGTACTCTCTCTCGTTATTTTTCTATAAAGTTATAACTTGTTTAGAAAATAAAGTCTATGAAAAAAAATAAGGCAGGGTTTGGAGATGGGGGGTACAGTGGCCATCGGGGACCAGGAGGTCAGGGGACTTCCTGGAGGAAATGATCTGAGCAGAGATACACCCAGACACAGTGGAGGGCATGGGTAGGGCAGGAGCTAGGGTCAGAGGTGAGTCTGGGAATGGGCAGGCGAAGCAGGGTGGAGGACTGGGAGAGGGAGAGAGACAGGGAGCGGCTGGGCGGGTGCGTGGAACATCTCCAGCGTGTCGAGGTCTCGGGAATGGTGTGAGGTCAAGAGGAAGACCCGTGCCATGGGCTGGAGGCAAATGAGGAAAGGGAGAACAGATAGAGGGAGACAGTCCAAGGAGGGAGAGAAAGGTCTAGAAGCAGCCGGGAGCATCTGGAGCTGGAAGGATGTCTTCTCCCTCTTGCCCCGACATCCATAGAGGGAGGCAGAGACCCTCTAAGCCATCCGAGCCCTGTCACCCACCCTCCCAGGACATGGGAGGGTTACATGGCTGCCAGCTATCACAGGACGACCTGTCCTGTCCCTTTGTCTCCCTGTGGCCACCAGCAAACCTTATTCCCCCAGGGCTCTACCGTGGTCCTTTTATCAGCAAGTTCACAGCGATTACAGGCACCAAGTGACAGTGTTCCACTCACCGGCTGTTACCGAGCACCTGCCTCCTGCCCAGCGGTGGGGGGCAGAGGTGTCCCTGACCTCCGGGAGCCGACACTCCAGCTGGGAGTTGGGCAGAGAAGAAAGAGGAGCTCGAGCGGAGCAATGGCAAATCGAGGCCACGGAGACACAGAGCTCTGCCCCGATGTCTCAGGGAAGAGGAGGGCGTTCAGAAGGCGAACCCACGGCAGGCAGGGCAGGAGGGCCAGGTGACCCCCAGGAGCCAAGCTAGAGCCACATGGCCTCCCTCGGGGCTGGAGTCTCAGAGAACCGCCTCTTCCCCGAGCTGCTGCTGCCGGTCCAGGGCACAGTTCCACAGACCACGCTTTCTCCGGACAGAGGAGGGGGGATGCTTCCTTCTCCCCTGAGACCAAGAGACCTGGAATGACCCCCACTGCGGCTCTCTAAGGCTGACCCACTGCCCAGACCCTGAGCCCACTCCCCCAGCCACAGAGCTGAGACCCCTGTGTCTACGCCCCCCCCACACCACCCCAGGGGCCTGTTCTGGCCCCTGATGAGATTTACTGATGTGGATTTTTTGCAAAGTGTGTCGTTTAAACTTAAGAGAGAAAAATGAGTGCCAGGGATGGCACCTGCTCCATTAGCCTCCCCACAGCACCCAGCAAAGCCCCGAGCCATAAAGGGTCATAAATGCCAGGTAAGTGACTACTAATAATGTTCCTTATGTTGTCTATACTTTTGGGTTACCACCTTTAAAACGATTTTGTAGGCAGAATTTTCAAAGATCCCCCTAAGATCCTAGCCTGCTGTGTACAGGCCCCTATCAACCCTGGGACTGTGAAGATGATGGTTTGCACCCCCATGGTGTGGCTATTATAGGGCCCAGCTGACCTCAAGAAAGAAAGAGCATCCAGGTGGGCCTGACCTAAGCACATGAGCCCTCTGAATCTGCATCTAGAGGTCAGAGACCACAGGCAGAGAGAGGGGAAGCACAGGGGAGAGCCTCTGTGGCTGGCTCCAAAGGCAGCAGGGCCCACCTGGAGAGGAGAGGACTCTAGGGGTAGAGAGCTGACTCCTCCCCAGAAGCTTCAGAAAAGAACTCAGCCCGGTATCACTCAGAGCAGAGAACCCAGCCACACCTCTGACCCGCTCAACTATGCCCTAATCAACA